CTTCGTGGCTGCCGAGAGCCGACGCCAGCCTGCAGCAGCACCACGTGCTCTTTTCCCTTCCAAGACGCCAGGCGAACAGATGGGGTTAACTCGAGCAACAACGAGGGGGAATTCAAAGGGAATCAGAAAGGGCGCTTATAATAAACAGCAGTGCTTTGCGGGAGGCTGACGTAAATCTCGAGCTTTATTGCCAAGCGAGTACGCGGTCCCCATGGGGAGCCTTTCCCGGTGCTACGGTGGGCTCGGCACGACAGAGGGGCTGTTTATTTATTGCAGCAGGTTAAAAATCCAGCCCTCCCTAGCAGGGTTTTATGTGCCCTCTGCAACAGCCTACAAGGGCTAACGCCGCACGAGGAGAATCAAACCTCACTGCAGGGGCAGAGGTTCCACTCACATGTTTTTTAAAAATACATTAAAACCTCTCCTGCCCATGTAGAGCAAATACAGGGTTTTAACTGCAGTAACCCCAACACTCTGGCCTCCAGCCTCAGCTGGGACTTGGTCCCAAGAAAACCTGCTATTTCTGTCCCTCCGTTACATACCTCGGCAGGCAGGCGGCTGCTGCAAGAGTTACTGCAGGGGTAAAAGAGCACTTGGAAGGGTTCGTCTAGAAACCACGGCCAAATGAGGTTTGAACACACTTGCACTGTCACAGGGCCTGTACAGATATAAGATCCACGGTACAAGGTATAAATATTTAACTAGCTTGGGTTTGAATGGTACACAAGGGTAGAGAGGCCAGCCTGTTTCTGCAGATGTTACAGGCAGGAGCCAGAACCAGTTTTCCCCAAAATACAACGGGTTTTGGGTGTATTTGGCCTGCGCCAACTAAATCAAATGTGGGGAAAGCTGAAATGCGAGAGACAGAGGCTAGTCAGACTGGAAAACTCGGTGAGTTAGTCCTGCTGCAAAGAACAATGCCCTGGGAGATGCAACCCAAAGACCTGAGGAAGCAGCTTTTGAAGACTGAGGTGCCCAAATATCCCGTTCTCTGATTCCTCTGGTGTTTGAGCAGGGTGTAAGTCGCCCGCCTCAAGCTACCTGGCTGGCACGACAAGGAGGTTAGAGGACAGAGCCGAAACGCTTCCTCCAGCGCTGCACTACACCCAGCCCTCCTCCTGCTCCTGTCCTCGGCTCTGACTAGTGCACTGACAGACCTGGTGTTTGGCTCGAGGGGACTGCAACTGAAAGGAAAAAACCCGTAAAATACATCGCTGCCTTTGTGGGGAAAATGCCGCCATCACAACCACCCCCGTGAACCACCCCCAGGCTTTTCGGCTGGTACCGTACGAGCCCCACGTGGTAACAGTTTTCACCAGACAGGGGCCCTGACCGCAAAACGGCGCCTTCCCGGTGGTCCTGAGCCCGGCCCCGTGGCCGTGGCCACCCCCCGCGGCC